AGACTGGGGCACATGATTTATGAGGAGAAGCTGAGGGAACTGGGATTGTTTAGTCTGCAGAAGAGAAGAATGAGGGGGGATTTGATCGCTGGTTTCAACTACCTGAAAGGGGGTTCCAAAGAGGATGGATCTAGACTGTTCTCAGTGGTACCAGATGATAGAACAAGGAATAACGGTCTCAAGTTGCAGTGGGGGAGGTTTAGGTTGGATATTAGGAAAAACTTTTTCACTAGGAGGGTGATGAAGCACTGGAATGGGTTACCTAGGGAGGTGGTGGAATCTCCTTCCTTAGAGGTTTTTAAGGTCAGGCTTGACAAAGCCGTGGCTGGGATGATTTAGTTGGGTCCTGCTTTGAGCAGGGGGTTGGACTAGATGACCTCCTGAGGTCTCTTCCAACCCTAATCTTCTATGATTCGATCACCTAGCGGCAGGGCTGCCCAGAGGGGGGGGGGGCAAGTGGGGCAATTTGCCCCAGGCCCCCACTAGAATATAGTATTCTATAGTATTGCAACTTTTTTTTATGGAAGGGGCCCCCGACATTGCTTTGCCCCAGGCCCCCTCAATCCTCTGGGCAGCCCTGCCTAGCGGCTATGGTCCAGGGGAATGTCACCCACTGATAAGAGTCAAAGGGGCCACTTCACCTAGTGGCAATATCTGGGGTAGTGTTGCCTAGTGGCTATGGTCCAGGGGGAAGGGATAGCTCAGTGGTTTGAGCATTGGCCTGCTAAACCCAGGGTTGTGAGTTCAATCCTTGAGGGGGCCATTTAGGGATCTGGGGCAAAAATCTGTCTGGGGATTGGTCCTGCTTTGAGCCGGGGGTTGGACTAGATGACCTCCTGAGGTCCCTTCCAACCCTATTATTGTATGATTCTAAGGGGCTGCTTTACCTAGCAGTACTATCCAGGGCAGAGTCTAAGAGCTGCTTTGCCTAGTGGCAGTATCAGGGAAGAATTACCTAGCGGTGAGTGTGGGGTGGGGAGGGGAGCCTGGGACCACCCTACTCTGCCAGATTTGACCCAGGGCCCTTCAAACCAAGGTACCCTGACACAGGGTCCAGGTTTATACTGGCACTAGAAAAGGTTCAGAGAAGGGCAACTAAAATGATTAGGGGTTTGGAACGGGTCCCATATGAGGAGAGATTAAAGAGGGTAGGACTTTTCAGCTTGGAAAAGAGGAGACTAAGGGGGAATATGATAGAGGTATATCAAATCATGAGTGATGTGGAGAAAGTAGAGAAGGAAAAGTTATTTACTTATTCCCATAATACAAGAACTAGGGGCCACCAAATGAAATTAATGGGCAGCAGGTTTAAAACAAATAAAAGGAAGTTCTTCTTCACACAGCGCACAGTCAACCTGTGGAACTCCTTTCCTGAGGAGGTTGTGAAGGCTAGGACTATAACAGCGCTTAAAAGAGAACTGGATAAATTCATGGAGGTTAAGTCCATTAATGGCTATTAGCCAGGATGGGTAAGGAACGGTGTCCCTAGCCTCTGTTTGTCAGAGGGTGGAGATGGATGGCAGGAGAGAGGTCACTTGATCATTACTTGTTAGGTTCACTCCCTCTGGGGCACCTGGCATTGGCCACTGTCGGTAGACAGGATACTGGGCTAGATAGACCTTTGGTCTGACCCAGTACGGCCGTTCTTATGTTCCAATACCCCCAAGCACCTTCCCCGGGTCACTTCCTGCCCTCATCCCAGTCCCTCCAGCGGCGTCTCCAGGGTTGGACATGGAGTCCCTCTCGCGTTCCTTCTGTTTCATCTCTGGCAGTTCCTCTGCTGGCAACAGCAATTCATCCCCTTTGGTTCCTGCAGCCAGCTGGCTTCCCACGGTGCAGCTAGGATGCTTGATCCCGGTGGCTTGGAATCCTGGCGGTTTCCTGGCAGGAGGCTGCTGCATACAACTACTCTCCACCTTAGTCAGCCCAGACTGAGCTGAGATGGTCCCTTTTGAATGCTCCCTCCACTGGGCGCATGCCCAGCACAGGCAAGGGGGCATGGCCTCTTGGGCCAAGAACTGCTCTTCACCAGTGTGGGGTTGATATACTCCGTCACACCTACCATCTATTCTCCAGAGTCATCCTCATGCACTGGCTGACCCAATGACTAATCTATTTATCCATGGTGGAACAGCTTCAACTCAAGAGATTGAGGGGGTATATCCCACTATCCCATAGCCCAGTGGTTCAGGCACACAGCAGAGAAGTGGCAGATCCCTTTTCAAATCCTTTCTTCTCTTCAGGCTTTGGGAATCTCCATGATTTTCTAGGCTCCTAACACCTAAGTCCCTCTTCAGATCTAGCCTCCAGTCTAGATAAGAATGTCCCACTTCCTTGGTAGTTTGTTCCAAAGGTTAATCGCCCTCATTAAAACTTTATACCTAATTTCTAATTTGAATTTGTCTGGCTTCATCTTGCAACCACTGGGTCTCGTTCTGCCTTTCTCTGCTTCATGGAAGAGCCCTTTAGTAGGGGGTATTTTCGCCATGCACCATAATCAAGTCACCTCTCAATCATCTTTTTGATCAGCTAAACAGACCGAGCGCTTTAAGTTTCTCACTGTGAGGCATTTTCTCCAGCCTGCAAATAATTTTTGTGGCCCTTTTCTGCATCCTCTCCGATTTTTCAACGTCCTTTTTAAAATGTGGACACCAGCACTAGACTCACTATTCCATTATCCATCCCACCAATGCCATGTGCAGAGGTAAAATCCCCTCTTTATACAGCCAAGGATCACATTAGCCCTTTTTGCTTGTCTACTGTGAGCCCCCTACATCCTTTTCAGGATGTTCCCCATTCTGTGGGTATGGCTTGCATTCCTTGTCCTTAGATGTATAACTTTGCACCTGAGTGTGTTAAATCACATTTTGTTTGAATGAGCCCAAGTTGTACAGAGACTGCCCTGTCCTAAGCATTATTTACCACATTATCAATCCTTGTGTCAGCCACAAATTTTATCAGAAGTGATTTTATATTTACTTTCAGCTCATTGATGAGGGCCTATAACCGATCCCTGCAGAGCCTCACAAGAAACACCCCCATTCAGAGATGATTCTTCATTGACCAGTACTTTCTGAGGTCTGTCAGTTAGCCTTTTCATAATTAAATTAACACATGCTCTATTGATATTGCAAAACGCTATTTTTAAAATCAGAATGTCATGCAGTACCTAGTCAAATGCCTTACAAATGTATATTGCATTTATGCAGTTATTTTTATCAACCAAACATGCCATCTCATCAAAAATGAAATCAGGTTCATTTGCCGAGACCTATTTTCCAATAAACCATGTTGTCTGGCATTTATTATTTTCCTAGCCTTTAATTCAATTAAATCCTGTATCAGCTTTTCCATTATTTTGCCCAGGGTTGATGTTGACTGGCCTCTAGATACCCGAGTCATCCCAGTTGTCCTTTTTGAATATTGGCACAACATTGGCACTGTTCCAGTCTTCTGGAATTTCCCCAATATTCCAAGATTTTTAAAAATTAACATCAATGGGCCAGAGCTCTCCTTAGTCAGCTCTTTTAGGACTCTTGGGTGCAAGTTATCCACACTTGCTGATTTTAAAATGTTTATCCCTGATAGAGTTTGTCTAACAGACTTTTCAGTTACTAATGGACTGGAAAGTACTTCATGAGTATATCATTTTGTTTCTTTCCAAATGCACAGCAGAAATATTTACTGAACACGTCTGCCTTTTCTGCAATATTATTAATAATTTTACCATCTCCATCTAGTAAGGGCCTATACTATTGCTAGGATTTCTTTTGCACATACTGGAGGGCTGACTGATTGTGATTTGTATGCTAGCAGAGTTGCTCACCTAGATGAAGCATAGCATTGGAGTTCTAAATATTTGTGATGAACTATTTTCCTATATCTGAGATAAGCTGAATTAACACAATCAGGGCCACATTTTCCAAAGGGCTCACTCTGTTGGGAAAAGGTTGGGCTCTCTTGAAAATCTGTCCCCACGCATCTATAACCCATGGGAGAGGGAGTGAAAAGAAGGGTGGTCCTGGGGATATTGCTGAGGGCATTCTCCCAGTTAGTCCCCCCGGAAAAATTCATTCACCTGATTTTAGAAAAGTGATGTTGGAGGCTTTTGTTTATCTTTAAGGGTACGTCTATACTTACCTCTGGGTTCGGCGGTAAGCAATCGATCTTCTGGGATCGATTTATTGCGTCTTGTCTAGACGCGATAAATCGATCCAGGAAGTGCTCGCCGTCGACACCGGTACTCCTGCTCCGCGAGAGGAGTACGCGGAGTCGACGGGGGAGCCTGCCTGCCGCGTGTGGACCCGCGGTAAGTACCTTGTAGTTCGAACTAAGATACTTCGACTTCAGCTACGTTATTCACGTTCGAACTGGGGGGTTAGTGTGGACCAGCCCTAAGTGTGTTTAGCGATTGGGCTAATAACATCACAGAATAATACAACAAAGAATTTTTTAAATCTCATTTAGGAGTTATTCTTTGTGCTGTGTATTATTTTCCATATTTCTCTTGGCTTGGCCCATGAAACATGATGATCAGTTTCATTTTTGTGCCTAGTAATTGGCTGGTTTCACGGAGGGTATTTCATGCTCTAGCACAGCACTCCAACATTTGTGTTACAAACACTGCAGGGAACTATTTATGTTTTTTTTGCGGGGGGTGGGGGAGGGGAAGGGGAAACTGTTTCCACTAGAATTTTTCAAAAATATTCCTAAATTTGAGGCCAAATTTGATCTGACATTGTCCCTTTTATTTGCCTGCTTTTTTATAGACTGGAAACATACAATGGCAGAGAGCAATATTTTCCTGGTTTTCCAAATGTTTTCTGTTCCTGCTGTTAGTCTGGATCGTAAAAGATCTCAGTGATGCTTATGAAGAGTAGATCTGTTGGCGGGAGCTGCAGATTTGTTTTTGTCCCTGCTGCTTTCACTTGTACAGAAATGAATTTCTGATGGGGGGAAATGCGCTTTCTCCAGTTGATAGTTTATCTTTCTCTTTTCAGGTGCTTTGGCTGTGACTGAAAGAAGGAGGTTTTGTTTTACTGGCAGAGGAAGAGCAAAGGGGCGAGGTTCAAAGGACTGGCAGCTCCCAGAGCACACTCCAAACAGTAAGACTCATCATACTTCTATAGCTTCAAGCAAATGAACAAAACAAATCAGAATCATTTCAATAAGTGGCACAAATAAATTAACAAAGCAGGTGCTTTACACACGGAATAGACCAGGAGTGACCTTACTGAAGTTTTAATAGGGACACTGGCAATATATTTATCATAATTTTTAATATCATTGTAATAAAATAACCCCGGCAGCCAGATATTAACTTAGCAAAATAGTGTTAATCCATGATATTATAAGAGGGTTTCTCTTGAGTGCTTGGTTACTGGTGTTTGTTTAAAACAAGTACACAAAGTGTGTGTTTTGGGGAAAAATCCAAACTTTTAATTGTCTCAGCTTCTAATGGCTGGAGCCTGAAAGGATGCCATAAGCACAACTATTAATGCCACCTGTGGGAAATGTGCCAGTTTTTTAAACATTTTTGTTTATAAGCTTTTAAATCAGACCTTTCTCCAAAAGGTCAACTGTATTTTAAAAACTAAAAAAGGTTAAAAAGAAAATGACCCAAAGTATACCCATTATTACTGCCAAATTTACAAGAGCAATAGGGTGTGATCTGAGTTAAAAATTGCCAGTTGTTAAAAAACACAAACCCTAAGACTATAGAAAACAATCAAATGAAATGTGTCTGAAATCAGTGCTATCAGAATTCTCTGTGCAGTCTAAGGCCCTGAACTCGTAACCACTCCAAAGGGACTGCCCACATGCAGAAAGTTGCCCATGTGAGTGTTTGCAGGAACAGGGTTCAAACTGGTGTCCAACTCAGGAAGCTCTGGAGGCACTGAAGAAACCACAAAGTTATCTGAAAGTTACTTGCTTCATCCTGAGTGCGACCTGTGACGGGTTCCGCCTGGGGTGCACCTGGGACCGGGGTACCACTGAGCCCTCTAACCCACCAGTCTGGGCTCCCGCTCACACTGTGCTACTGTGACAAGCTGCAGACCCGCTCCCGGTCCTACATTTCCCCCAGCATTCACACAGGTAGAGGCACACTCAGCTGCAGTTACATGCTGTCTGACCAGCCACTGCATAAACCAACAATAGAGAGGCTACAGCCAAAATAACCTAGGACCCCACAGCTGTACCGTCCTGCTGTGGTCCAAACTTCCACCAGTATGAATGTATTATCCAGTTCGCCTCCCCCTCAATGTGGAGAGGAAATGCAACAAGCCTGTGTTAAACCAAGCTGAGATTTTCCCCCAGACACTTCGCTTAAAGGCACACTGAGTTTAAATTAAAACATAAAATAAGTTTATTAACAACAAAAGATAGATTTCAGTGATTATAAGGGATAGCAAACAGATCAAAGCAGATTACCTAGCAAATAAAGAAAATCGCAAACTAGGCTTAACATACTAGATTGAATATGCATTCGTAGTTTTTCACCTGAGTGATCGTAGAAGCAGGCTGCAGATTCTTAAGGTGGAAACTGCACTTGCTTTGCAGTTTGGAATCCCCAAGCTTTTCATACACAGGCTAGAAATCCCTTTAGCCTGGGTCCAGCACTTCCCCCGGTTCAGTCTGTTGTTCCTTAGGTGTTTCCAGGAGTTTTCTTGTGTGTGTGTGTGGGGGGGGTGAAGAACAACACATGATGTCACTCCTGGCCTTATATAGCTTTAGCATATGGCGGGAACCCTTTGTTTCAAACCTTGGTTCCCAGACCAGTTTGTGGAAAAATACAGACATCCCAAAAAGGAGTCCAGAGTCATGTGGCCTGGTCATATGCCCTTGCATACCTTGCTGAGTCATAGCCGCCGTTACTTACAGGCTGTCTGGAACGTTCACAGGAAGGTTAAGTTCTTCCAGGGTTCATTGTCTTTGCTGATGGGCCATCAGCACTCTCTGGCTTCTTCATTGTTGTACGTGAAAGGCTAGCTGTGGGTGTCACCCAGAGTAAGCACATTTGAAATACAGACACATAGTCAATATTCCTAACTTTAGATACAAAAAGGATACATGCACAGAAATAGGATAATCACATTCAGCAAATCATAACTTTTTCAATGACACCTTACATGACTTGTCTGGCACAAAATGCATCATAATTATGCCATAATCATATCATAATAATATCACTGTGAAGAATACGGGGTGCAGCGTCATACTACCCAGGGCCGTCCCTACCCATACGCAAAGTATGCAGCTGCACTGGGCACCAGGAAATTTGGGGCACCAAATTTCCTGGTGCCCTATGCAGCTGTGTGCTGCTCCAGTCCCTGCTCCGCCTCTTCCCCATGGCCCCTGCCCCTGCTCCCCCCCCCCCCCCCCCCCCCTCCCCCCACGCCCCCGCCCCTGCTCTGCCCCCCCCCGCCTCTTCCTGCCCCTGCTCTGCCCCAGCCCCGCCTCCACTCCCCTGAGGACGGCAGCAGGGGCCGGGCCTGCACTCACCGGTGGCGGTAAGTGGAGCAATCCGGCCCCAGCCTGCTCCGCTCCCCTGGCTCGCAGCCGCGCTGCCGGTGAGTGCTGGGGGGCGGTTCCCCCTTGCCCCCCAGCCCCAAGGCTGGGAGCAAGGGGAGCAGTGCGGAGCGGGCTGGGGCAGGGTCACTCCACTTCCTGTCGCCCCGTGAGTGTGGGGTCGGGCCTGCCCTGGACTCACCGGGCAGCAGGAAGTGGAGGGACCTGGCCCCAACCCGCTCCACCACCTCGTGCTGAGGGGTGGTTCCCCCTGCCCCCCAAGCCAGCCCCCCCCCACGCACCCCCTGCGGAGGCCTGGGGCTCCACATAGCCCCCCTGTGGGGGGGCTACGTAGGGCACCAAAATGGCTAGGGATGGCCCTGATACTCCCTACAAAACCTTTGTCTTAATATAACCCCACAGTCAGACAGAAGAAACAAAACTGCTGTTGTTCCAAACTATGCATGTTTTTTTCTTAAAACATGAACCTCTGCCATCTCTCTGGCCTTTCTCTTGTTAACTAGGAAATGTTAGGGTCTGAGCATCTTGGGAGAAAAACCTTTTCTGTTCTTTTAATCAGATATAAAACTTACCTTGATCCAGAGCAAAGTCCAAAGGCTTCTGTATCCCTCTCTTTTAACGGAACCTTCTTGCCTCAGTAATGTTTTAAAAATTTCTTCTAATAAACCACATAAAGTAATGAGAGGATTATATTCTGCAGGCCCCCCTGTGAGACCTAATCAGAGGTTAGGCCTTCCAGATGTGCTGTTGGAATTATTTGGGGGGCAGTTCTCTGACCTGTGTTATGCAGGAGGTCAGACTAGAAGATCACAATGGTCCCTTGTGGCCTTGGTATCTATGAATCATAGCCGCCACCAAACGATGTCAGGACTAAGGGGAAGGCCGTTTTGTGTTACCGTGCTATGCCAGATTTCACAATGGTGGAGGTCAATTTCTAATCAAATCTGGCTCTTTAGTAAGATGTAAGGGATGGTTTCTATTTTTGTCTACAAATTCATGAAACATTTTAACCTGAGGAAAGGTGACGTCGTGTTTATTATACTTTGTGTTTATAAAATTATGTCAAGTAGTCAACTAGCCCCTTCTCTGTTGGAACTAAGTGATTCAGGAGACAGGGCTAATCCCCAGAGAGGAACTCCCCATACTTGAAGATTCTTTTCCAGTTCCATTCATAGGAGATTGGCTACAGTGTTCCAGTTGACCTGGCTGGCTAGATTTCTCGGGATGATGTCTTTCTTCCTTGGTCCCATCTGGCCCAAGGACTTGATTGTTCCTTTGGACAGTGCCCTGAACAATGGGGGCAGAGATTGTATGCTGCATGCCCTAGAGTAGCCCCTGGAAGTCCTGTGCCCTAGAGAGGCTCTGAGGCACAATTCCCTCCCTACTTGGGTGGTAGCAATGACCTAGATCTGCAGCCAATTATGAGCCCTCCTGCACCAGCTCCATTGTATTGGCCAGCACACTGAAAGGGATGGAGCCAAGACTCCAACCATTCCCCATCACTCCCCACCCGCCCGCTCCGGAGCGGGGGCAAGCAGGGGCACAACTTGTGACTCTTGCATGCCCTGTTCCCCTCTGTGGGTGTTCAAGCCAGGTCAAATCTAGCCCTAAGGAATTACCTAAGACTCACCAAGAGAGAAATCAGGGCCCTGAGACAGCAAGGGATCAGGGCATGTGGCTAACTTTAAGCACTTGCCTTAGTTTGGAAAAGAGAAGAGTGAGAGGGGACATGATAGCAGTTTTCAGGTATCTAAAAGGGTGTCATAAGGAGGTGGGAGAAAACTTGTTCATCTTAGCCTCTAAGGATAGAACAAGAAGCAGTGGGCTTAAACTGCAGCAAGGGAGGTTTAGGTTGGACATTAGGAAAAAGTTCCTAACTGTCAGGGTGGTTAAACACTGGAATAAATTGCCTAGGGAGGTTGTGGAACCTCCATCTCTGGAGATATTTAAGAGTAGGTTAGATAAATGTCTATCAAGGATGGTCTACTCAGTATTTGGTCCTACCATGAGGGCAGGGGACTGGACTCGATTACCTCTCGAGGTCCCTTCTAGTCCTAGAGTCTATGAATCTATAAGTCATTGGGGCTGCCTCATATGCTTAAAGTTCAGCACATGCCTCAGAACTTTGTTGAATCAGGCCTTATGATGAGAACTCCTAGCAGAAACTGGAGAAAAAATTACAATGATTTAAAATACAAATATGATTAGCCCAATAGCCACCATCAGATACCTCCCTCCTCAGTGGCAGTGAGTGATGGCTCCAGCACAGCACGCTTAGCAACAGCCAGAAATTTTCCTTTTGTTCTAGTGATGGGGCTGCTAGATCAGAAGGTTCTCAGCAAAGACAGAATCTTCACAATGTCAGTGAAAACTGCAGATTAGTTAGGAACAGTTCAGCTCATTTTAGAAACCCAGAGGCTTGAACATTTGTGTGTTGAATCCAGTGTTGTGGTTAGAGAACACGGGGTGAGGGTGGGGAGAAGATACACTTTTCAAAGCAGAGGTGAAGTAGGAAATTATGTTTTCTTGAACTCCAGAAAACTAGTGAAATGAAATTGGGACCCTGCCTGAAACC